CATGGCCAAATGCAATGCCAAAGACACCCCATACTGCGACGGCGTCCTGCTCCACAAGCCAACAGACAAAGACGAGACCCAACTGCACACTCTCAAAAAATACCAGCAGATCATTGGGGACCTACGCTATGTCGCTGACTCGACGCGACCAGACATCTACTTCCTGGCAAACAGACTAGCAGTAGCGGCCAACAACCCGACACAAAGGCACTGGAACGCACTAAAACGCCTGATAAGGTACCTCAAGGGCACACCAAACACAGGCCTCACGTTCCGAGCCGGCAAGCAAGCAGACAAAGAGAAACCCCAGAACCTCCTTGTCTCGTATGCCGATGCCGATTTCGCTGCCGACATCACGGACAGGAAGTCCATATCGGGGACCCTCCACACATACAACGGCACACCGATATGTTGGGGGTCCCTCAAGCAAAACATCACAGCCTTATCCACCTGTGAGGCAGAATATATTGCGGCCACCTCCGCCGCACAGCAGACCACGTGGATCCGACGTCTGCTACAGGATGTGCACATGCTGCCGAAATCCCCGACCCCCTTGATGATAGACAACCAGTCCGCCATCCACGTTGCCAACAGCACGGGACCGACGAAGAGGCGAAAATTCATAGATCTGAGGCATCACTACCTCACGCATCAGGCACAAAAGGGCACAATTGCCATTGCACATGTCCCCACGGACGAACAACTCGCGGACATCCTCACGAAACCGCTACGTCGTCAAGCATACACACGCCTCCTCCCCAAACTACAGCTCAGAAACCGCACGACTGCAGACGGCAAAACTGCTGCGCCGTCGACAGGGGGAGTGTCATGAGAGCCATAAAAACAAACGTCGACGCCGCAACAGCAATGCGTCAGCAGTCATGAGAGCCATATACACACACGTAGCACACGTACAACAGCGATCAACTCACCACGATCGCCGCCGGCCTACGGATCGCTACCATCCCTACATAAGGTAGATAGAGACGCGATCACAGTAAACCGAGCCATCGATCTTGCATCACATGGGTCAAGCACGCCAGAGGTACGGTTTACACGCAGACATATAGGCAGAAGAAAGAGCGATCTGAAAATGCGGTTTGGTTTTGGTTTTCTTCTTTGTCTTCTTCTTTATGCGCGCAGGTGAATGTTATCTTAAAGAACTGGGTTTAGATTTCACATGTACGGTACAGTGTAGTAAGATTCTTTATTGGTAAAAATAGATGTGTTAAACGTTTCAAACGTTTCGTTTGCACGAAAAGGTTTGCCAGCAAAGGAAGAAGGGTAGAGTCTGCAAGCGCGGAAAATTGCGAAACACAGAGGCGGAAGCAAAAGGTTACCGAGAATGACACACGATAACAACTGGCTGTTGTGTTGATTGCGTGAAGAGTGGCGGCTGTCGGCGCGGCATACTTAACCTTTGGGGTGGTACGGACGGGCGAATGGTATCTGCGGTTTTGATACTTGTTTCTTGCCAGTCACACGCCTCCCGCACCTCGCATTAACCCCGCCCCCGTTTTGGCTCTCGACGGCGCCGTCTCCTTTTGCCGCGCCCGTTGTCCACCAACCCCTTCTGCCTCCTCGACCCCCTCCCTACTGCCGTCGTCTCATGCCAATTGTCCGGCACTCACACCATCGTCGCAACGGCCCTCTGTTCTCCCTCTTCTGCATGCTCTCTCCCTAATACGCCCTCCGTCGCCGCAGCACAGTCCCCTTCCCACCTCTCAGTTACGCTTTCATCGCTTTCGTTGAATACCCCCGCTCTCTACCTAATACGCCCTCCGTCGCCGCAGCACAGTCCCCTTCCCACCTCCCCTTCCGACCTCCCCTTCCGACCTCCCCTTCCGACCTCCCCTTCCGACCTCTCTGTGACGCTGTCATCGCTTTCATTGAACACCCCCCAATGTCCCCAATGTCCACGCGCCCCTTCCCCTTCCAACCGCAAGTGGCGAGCAAACATCCTCGAGTGCTTCAATACAGTCCCCATTCCCTCCCATCTCCTCAGTCGACGAGTATGCAATGATTTCCAGCGCCCAGCATCCCCAGTTTTGTCCCTCAATTCACTCCGTCGGAAGAACATGCTTCGCATATGACCTTTCTCACAAGCCCCACATCATGGTCACCGCTCACAATTAAATTGATTCCAATACCCTACAACCTAACCCCCCAATTTCTCCAGTTAACGTTCCGCACCGCCCACATCCTGCCCAACCCGCCCAACCCGTGCTGGAAACCGGGATCGGGAGCGCAACACACCCGGAATGTAGAATCGATAAACATACCTCCAGACTCCCGGCCGAAACACGTTTCACACTTAAAAAATGCAGACACGCACCGGCGCACCGACGCTCCTCTCCCGGCAGCGGCGGAGAGCGCGGAAAGCGCGGAGGGCGCGGAAAGCGCGGAGGGCGCGGAGAGCGTGGAAAGATTGGAGATGGCAGGGACAGTAGTGTAGGTAATTTTATTCAAATGCAAGGGGGGGCCGATACAGTGGCATGCGGGCGGACGTCAAGGAATCACACTTGCGGAGGATAGGATGGAGCCGACCCATGACACGGCATGCGGGCAATTGTCGCTGCGGCGACACTGGACCAAATCGCAAAGCTGAGACGCTGGGCGAGGCGGGTTTTGGCGATGCCAAAGCTGCAGCCTGAGCGGAGGGCAATTTGGTGCGCAACGTGTTCAAGGACAGCAGTAGTACGGGTGCTCCAAGCGCCCAGGGTATCGAAGGCAAGGGGGACGAAATGCCAGTCTAGGGGAGGAAGTGGATCGTCAGCCTGAAGGTGTAAGGCAGCGCGTAGAATGCGGTCATGGGTGCGGAGTTTTCTTGTATGGGCTCCTTCAGCGGCGCCGGCAATAGACCGAGCAGCTGAGTTCATGTTAGCAGCGGTGTAGGGATTACAAATCGTGACATCGTATGCTGTAGGGCGGTCTGGGAGGGCGCCAGCCGCTGGAGGCGACGGTTGGACAAGAAGGTCAGCAGGGCGGTGCGCCGTGCCTGGTATGAGAAATGGAACTTCGCGGTCGCACGCGAGGCCGGCTGCCCGAAACGCTTGGCGGGCCAGAGTATTGCGGACAATGTTATGGCGGTGGGTGGCACCATACCCGTGTTTGCAGTTGGCGGCGTGGTCGCCACGTTTGTCCATCGCGCGGCCACAGTGAGAGCATTGTAGGGGGGCCCGTGAATCGTCGTACACAGGCGTGTCGAGGTGTCGCCGAAGCATAACGGACCACACGGCACTTGAAACTCGCGAGGTCAGAGATGGGTGAGCGCAGAGGAAGGAGGCTGCACCAGGAGTAATTAGAGAGTTGTAGCGGGCGCGACGGCGTACAGAGGCTGCCGTATGATCGGTTGGGTTAGGCTGTCGATCCCACTCTCTCGTTTCCCAATACATGCGCGAAAAGGCTCCATGGAGCGCCTGATATAATGTAAAATGTACTCTTTCAGGTCGTTCCAATAAAGCTTGCGGTTCGAAGGGGCCCAGATTAGAATGCGTAGCGAGGATCCCTCGGGTTTCAACCTCGGGGTTCAAGGAGCGCAGTACATGCACTAGATGCTTCCGTGCCATTCCGCGGTAGAATGGCACTGTAGGGTTCGAAGGTCCGCGAATGCGTGCTTTTGCGGATTCAATTAAACTTGCAGCGTGAGATGCGTGCACAAACGGGGCCAGTGGCGTGAAACCATGACCACCCAAACGGAAGGGGAGGCCAATCTGGGAAGATATGGACGGAGAAAGCGTGACATGATTGAACCGGGAGTAGGCGGATTTTTGACTTTGATCAAACCGAATTGCGCTTGGGAGCGAAATGCGAGGTAGTGTTAGGCGGAACACATGCTCGACGCGGCACACGGATCCTGATACTCGATGCAAATGGAAACGTATACGGGCATCGGGAATGCTGTCGAGCAATGTGAGGGAGTTTGACACTGCCTCAATTTTTTCCTCCAAGAATGACCTCATGAATTCATCTGTGCCTAACGGGGCGCCCAAAAGAGCAATTCCGCCTTCTTGTGAGACAGGGACAGTAGGGACGGTGGGAGATTACAGAGTGTGGTGATTCCTTCATATGACTCCCAGTCATTCCTCTCTCCTGTCGTTGGCCAACGGCACCTCCCCTTTTGCTCAGCCGTCATCACAGGTTATGGGCCTCATTCTACTGCTGCACACGCGAGTTCGAATCCCACCGTACACCTCCTTCCCACACTACCCAATCACAAGCTCACACGTCAACCACCCGACGTTGTTAGAAGCAACCCCTCACAAGCTCACACGTCAACCACCCGACGTTGTTAGAAGCAACCCCTCACAAGCCGACACGTCCCACACCCGACGTATTCAGATGATGCAAAAAACCTCATTTTTCAGGTTCCAAGGTCCACCCGCACTGTAAGACGTCACCAACACGCATCAAAAACCTTCAGGTTCATGGTACACCTGCGCTCATACTTTCAAGTCAAGAACCCGGCATTCCTTCTCATTTAGTCACTCACATACGAGTTCAGGGGGACTGTGGTGTATCCGTGCTCGCTTCGCGCTGTCGTTCCACGCTAAAAAACTTCTCAACTTCAAAAATATTATTTCCTTCATATGACTCCCAGTCATTCCTCTCTCCTGTCGTTGGCCAACGGCACCTCCCCTTTTGCTCAGCCGTCATCACACAGAGAATGGGAATTCATGGGAGAGGGCGAAAATGTCGGCAAAAATATGTCGTAAGTGCACGTACCCAGGGCGCGTGTTCTCAACGTGGACACGTTTCACATCCGGATCTCGAACACCTGACGCGGTGGAGATTGCATCACAGCCATGTAGTGTACTGTGCGCTTGTGGAGGTGAAGGTACCTACTTTTAAAAAAGTAATGTTTAACCAAAGTGCACAATGGTGCGGTGAGCGATGATCGCTCACACGCAGAAGCGAGTTTTTTACTTGTTCAATTCACTGTAACATGCAAGCCGCGGACAACCTTCAAATTATAGAAGCAATGTTGATTGCGAGGACAAATGCATACCTTTAAATACCGTTGGTATCCACACTGTGTCGCCGCAGAGTCCGCTGTTTGGGAGAGGGGAGTTCGTGGCAGAGTGGACAACCGGTTGCTGGTGGTGCAGTTGACACTCTGCGCCTGCGAGGCCCTGGGTTCGATTCCCGCCCGGTGCCCAACTTGGTTGCGCCACTTGGGCACCCAACCAAGTTGGCCCGGGCAAAATTCGTACCATACCTAGTTACTTAGTTACTTTCTTTTTTTACTTTCTTCCTACCTTCTTCCTACCTTCTTCCTACTTTCTTCCTACTTTCTTCCTACTTTCTTCCTATTTTCTTCCTACTTCTTTCTGTTTTCTTCCTACTTCTTTCTGTTCTCTTTCTGTTCTCTTTCTGCTTTCTTTCTATTGCCTTTTTATTGTATTTTTATTGTATTTGTATTGTATTTGTATTGTTCCTCCTCTCCTCACCAACCTCGTCTTGTTCGTCTCCGTTTCGATTGAGTTCAAACGCGCACGGGTCTTAGCGACAAACACTTTTCTCTCTCCTCTCGCTAAACATATTCCTTTTACACATTACGCAATCCAAATACTCTACAACTAAGCCTTTCGCCCTTCCGACGTCTCTTCCCGCTGCCGTCCCCCCCCTCCCCAAATCCATCATCCCGCACACTGCCTCTTGCTCACGAGACCTCCCTCACTCGCTACGCTCCCTACTGCCTGCCATCTCGGCTTCCCGGCCCGCACAGCAGCCCGAGGCGTTAGCGATGACGTCCCCACGTCCCCACGTCCCCACGTTAACACGTTCCCCACGTTCCCCACGTCCCCACGTTCCCACGTTTTTACCCTCCCCCGTAGTACACAGCCCAAAATGTGGCGTTCCGAAGTCCGCGACAGGAAGCAGCGGGACCAGCGAAATGCGTGGAATCAGGGGAGGCGGAATGCAAGCTCTACTTATGAAGAAATCAAAAGAAGCTATTCTACTCCAAGTCAATGACGCGCCCATCTAAAACTTGTGCCGTATGGAAACCGGGATCGGGAGCGGAAGACACCCGGAATCTGGAATCGATGAACATGCCTCCAGACGTCCGGCTGAAAACACGTTTCACACTTACTGACAAATGCAGACACGCACCGAGGGTCCTTCCAGGCAGAAATAATGCTTGAATCACGATCTCACCTGCGCTCATGCGCTCATGCGCACGTCAGATCATCCACTCACTGTCTGTCTCTCCTACGATAAATGTCGACTCTCACTTCCACCCTCAGACAAATGCACCTCTGTACATCCACAGGACAAACACATGTGATGCACCGGACTGTGCGCCTCCCTTTCCCTTCCCGACATGCACCTTAACCCACCGCACCGACCGCACCGATCGCACAGAACGCACAGAACGCACAGACGCCTCCGACACAACCGCTTCAACCTCGGCTTCGATTCTGTTTGGGCCGTGGTTCACGAATACGAGTCCTCTCTTTTGAAAGGTAAGTCTCGCACTGGCGTCCCGGCGACCGCACCAAAGAACATATGTGAAATGGGCGGCCTCCTTGCCTGCGAGACTTACCGCAACAGCGCTTGAGAGAGATGCTGTTGCTAACGCGAGTCACCGCTTGTTTTTTCGGCGCTTTTCGTTCTTTCTGTTTGTATTTCTTTCCTATTTACACGACGCACTGGCACTGTTTCTTCTTTTTTTGCCGTGCAGGCGACGGAGTGGCACCCAGACGTTTTGCTCACGTTCCAGGACGTCCATCTTGGCCTTCTGGGTCAAGCACGCCAGAGGTACGGTTTACACGCAGACATATAGGCAGAAGAAAGAGCGATCTGAAAATGCGGTTTGGTTTTGGTTTTCTTCTTTGTCTTCTTCTTTATGCGCGCAGGTGAATGTTATCTTAAAGAACTGGGTTTAGATTTCACATGTACGGTACAGTGTAGTAAGATTCTTTATTGGTAAAAATAGATGTGTTAAACGTTTCAAACGTTTCGTTTGCACGAAAAGGTTTGCCAGCAAAGGAAGAAGGGTAGAGTCTGCAAGCGCGGAAAATTGCGAAACACAGAGGCGGAAGCAAAAGGTTACCGAGAATGACACACGATAACAACTGGCTGTTGTGTTGATTGCGTGAAGAGTGGCGGCTGTCGGCGCGGCATACTTAACCTTTGGGGTGGTACGGACGGGCGAATGGTATCTGCGGTTTTGATACTTGTTTCTTGCCAGTCACACGCCTCCCGCACCTCGCATTAACCCCGCCCCCGTTTTGGCTCTCGACGGCGCCGTCTCCTTTTGCCGCGTCCGTTGTCCACCAACCCCTTCTGCCTCCTCGACCCCCTCCCTACTGCCGTCGTCTCATGCCAATTGTCCGGCACTCACACCATCGTCGCAACGGCCCTCTGTTCTCCCTCTTCTGCATGCTCTCTCCCTAATACGCCCTCCGTCGCCGCAGCACAGTCCCCTTCCCACCTCTCAGTTACGCTTTCATCGCTTTCGTTGAATACCCCCGCTCTCTACCTAATACGCCCTCCGTCGCCGCAGCACAGTCCCCTTCCCACCTCCCCTTCCGACCTCCCCTTCCGACCTCCCCTTCCGACCTCCCCTTCCGACCTCTCTGTGACGCTGTCATCGCTTTCATTGAACACCCCCCAATGTCCCCAATGTCCACGCGCCCCTTCCCCTTCCAACCGCAAGTGGCGAGCAAACATCCTCGAGTGCTTCAATACAGTCCCCATTCCCTCCCATCTCCTCAGTCGACGAGTATGCATGCAATGATTTCCAGCGCCCAGCATCCCCAGTTTTGTCCCTCAATTCACTCCGTCGGAAGAACATGCTTCGCATATGACCTTTCTCACATCATGGTCACCGCTCACAATTAAATTGATTCCAATACCCTACAACCTAACCCCCCAATTTCTCCAGTTAACGTTCCGCACCGCCCACATCCTGCCCAACCCGCCCAACCCGCCCAACCCGCCCAACCCGTGCTGGAAACCGGGATCGGGAGCGCAACACACCCGGAATGTAGAATCGATAAACATACCTCCAGACTCCCGGCCGAAACACGTTTCACACTTAAAAAATGCAGACACGCACCGGCGCACCGACGCTCAGCGCGGAGGGCGCGGAGAGCGTGGAAAGATTGGAGATGGCAGGGACAGTAGGGACGGTGGGAGATTACAGAGAATGGGAATTCATGGGAGAGGGCGAAAATGTCGGCAAAAATATGTCGTAAGTGCACGTACCCAGGGCGCGTGTTCTCAACGTGGACACGTTTCACATCCGGATCTCGAACACCTGACGCGGTGGAGATTGCATCACAGCCATGTAGTGTACTGTGCGCGTGTGGAGGTGAAGGTACCTACTTTTAAAAAAGTAATGTTTAACCAAAGTGCACAATGGTGCGGTGAGCGATGATCGCTCACACGCAGAAGCGAGTTTTTTACTTGTTCAATTCACTGTAACATGCAAGCCGCGGACAACCTTCAAATTATAGAAGCAATGTTGATTGCGAGGACAAATGCATACCTTTAAATACCGTTGGTATCCACACTGTGTCGCCGCAGAGTCCGCTGTTTGGGAGAGGGGAGTTCGTGGCAGAGTGGACAACCGGTTGCTGGTGGTGCAGTTGACACTCTGCGCCTGCTAAAGGTTATACGAAGTGATGTTCCTTGAACTGAGTTGTCTCGTGACCGGCTTTACTCAACGACTCTGCGACTTAAGTAATGTAGACAGTAGAAGTAAAAGATTGAATGCTATCCAAAAGGATAAGGAACTGCCAAAATGACTGTAGTGCTGCGTTCTGTGTTAGATTGTACATTTGCGCGCTGCCCGCAACAATGCTATCGTGAATGTCAAAGCCCTAATCTTGGTCCCACAACATCAGTATTGCGTTGTCCTTGAACAAGGGGTTTCTTCCTGTCCGGTTAAACAAGCAAGACCAGATTGGTGCCAAGTGAGCAGCACAACATTCCAACACTCCCTCTTGCTGCGATTACTTGGCAATTAAAGTCAGAGAGAACAGACTAAGCCCATCGCGATGTTTTTGAAACGAAATTCGCCGAAGTGGCTTCGTCAGAATATCAGCCGTCTTGTTTTCAGTCGGACAGAAAACGACTTGATTGGTACCTTTGTCTACGTTCTCTTTCACAAAATTACGTCGAATCGAAACATGCTTTGCGTTCCTTACTCCCTCAGTAGACCAAACGATAGCACCCTGATTGTCCTCAAATATTTCGGTTTCATCCTTCTAGTGGCATCCAAGTTCTTCCAAAAGGCAGCGCATCCAGATTACGAGCTTCGTTGCCTCGCTCAATGCGATATGTTCAGCTTCTGTCGTCGGGAGCGCAACACAGTTTTGTTTAGCTGTTTTCCAGCACAATGCCGAAGCACCTAGCCTGAGAAAAACACCGGTAGTCGACTTTCGGTCAGTTCTATCTCCGGCCCAGTCGGAATCGGAAAGTGCACCCAGCTTGCTTTCTGATGATTTCTCAATTCGGAGCGCAATGTCTATCGTTCCGTTAAGGTACCTGAGTATTCTCTTCAGCTGCACCCAAATCAGCTCGGTGGGGTTGGCAGAAAATCGACACAGAATTCCAACAGATGCACTGATATCCGGCCTCGTTCTCGTGGAAAGAAAGAGCAAACATCCAATTAGTTCTTGGTACTTGAGTCGATCGAATTGTCCGGACTTGTCTTGATCCAACTCTGCAAGTGCACCGGTGCTCATCGGAGTATCAATTGCCTTGCAGTGTTCCATGCCAAATCTCTTCAGTACCTCAGTAGTGTAGGACTTCTGTGATGGCCATGCACCGGTACTATCCCGCGTGAATCGTAGACCGAGAAAATCACTCAGGATTCCCATGTCTTTCACATCGAGATATGTACGTAGTTCATCTTTAACAGCCTCCAAGATTCTTTCATCGGGGCCAATCAGGATAATATCATCGGCATAGAGAAGGATCCACACGGTGCCCTTACGAAATGCGCATTCATCTGAGCGAAGTTTCACGAATCCCATCTTGTCCATGACTTCCAACCACTTACGATTCCAGAGACGGGGGGCTTGCTTTAGTCCATACAGGCCTCTGCGCAATTTCAGCACCTGACTTTCCTCACAAACATCAACTCCATCAGGCGGTGTGATATACACGTCACCATCAATATCTCCATGTAGGAATGCCGTGCAAATATCAAGTTGTAGAATGTTATACCCCCTCTGGACGGCCACCGTGAGTGCAGTTCTTACAGTCGTAAAGTCGACTACAGGAGCGTATGTTTCCTTTACTTCACCCTGAAGGTGTCCACGCACTACCAGTCTGGCCTTATGTCTAATGACACTGCCTTGACTCTCATACTTTCTCTTGAAAACAAATCTTGTGGAGAGAGCCTTCTGACCATGCGGGAGATTGGTGGGTGTCCAGGTGGCATGATTGCGCAGAGAATTTAGTTCTGAGTGGATCGCAGTTTTCCACTGTTCTGAGTCCTCCAGGGAAAGCGCCTCCCTGACTGTTGATGGCTCATCACTGTGGACAGTAGCGATGCAGGCCCTGGATACATCAGCTATTCCGGGCTGATAAAACGATGTGGGCGCGCGGTTACGAATAGGGTATCTGCGCTCATCTGATGGGTTCATGGTTCCAATTATTTCATCCGGTTCCTCCTGTTCTCCTTGTTGTCCTTGAATAGGAGCACGCAGGTCTGGATAATGGGTCAACTCGTCCAATGTCGCCCCCTCCGATGCGCTCGGTCGATCATCTTGATCTGTGACCATCTGTTTGGTCTGAGTTGTGTCCGTTTGTTGCGTTGTGGTTACCACAGATGTTTGTACTGCTACTGATTGGTGCTCCGTTGGGTATGTCGATTTTCTAACATGAGCTCCTCCGTCATCAGATGCTACAGTATCGGACAAGATTCCTTCCGCACTCCACTCGCGAGCAGGGAAAACAGTTTCATCAATGATTACGTCTCTTGCGACGATAGCTATTTGACGAGAAGGTAGCCACACTTTGTACTGCATGTTCTCGTAACATCCCACTAGTATTCCAGATTCAGACTTACTGTCCAATTTCTTGCGTCGCTCCTTGGGAATCTGTGCCCAGGCGAGGCACCCAAACGTGCGCAAATGAGAGATGTTTGGCACTGTACCATTCATTAGTTCATGCGAAGTAGTGGTGCTGTTTTGAGGTGCGAAGAACAAGTTTCGAATGGTCGCAGCATGGCTGACAGCTTCGGCCCAAAACGTTTTTGGCAGTGAGGCGTGCTCTAGCATAGCTCTTGCGAATTCAACGATAGTCCGGTTTGTACGCTCTGCGATACCGTTGAGATTTGGGGAATAGGGTGGTGACATGGATTGTTCTATCCCATGCTCATTCAGATAGTCGGTAAGAGCGATGTACTCTCTACCATTATCGCTGTGTACTTTCTTCACCGTACAGCCATAATTCCGTTCAATCCAGCGATGAAACCATTTGAACCTTTGGAGAACATCGCTTTTGTTCGCAATAGGCACAACTTTCTTATAGCCTGAGAACTCATCGATAAAAGAAACGAAGTACCTGGAGCCACCCAATGATTTCACTGACATCGGCCCACAGACGTCCGTGTGTATTGTAGCACCCTTCTCGGTAGAGCGGTGGTTGTTACGGCTGAGTGACTCTCTTGTCTGCTTCCCTCGGACGCAACTTTCACAGTTTCCTTTTCCATATTTTTCATCACTCTTCCCGATTTTAAGCCCGGTTACTGCACGCAGGCGCTCAAGCTTCTTCAGGGACTCAAAATGAGCGTGTCCTAGTCGATTGTGCCATAATCTGATGCTTTCCATATCTGCTTCACCGGCAGACTTTTCATGCCTTGTAGCATGTACGGCTCCGATCAGGTCGCGGAGAGGACGCCCATTCAGACGATATACACTATCCCTATTTTTCGCTTGGAATTGAATGGAGCCGCCCTGGAGTCCGACGCAACAATCTCCCTTGAAATTAACGACGTACTCGTCGCGGCACAAAGTAGCGCAAGAAAGGAGGTTTGCCCTCAGTGTCGGGACGTACAGTACGTCAGAAAACGTAACTACCTTGTTCTGCACAGTCTTTCCTTGCTTCACCCGCATTTTGGTCCTTAGCACTCCGACATGAGACGCAAAGACTTCTGCACCGTTTCCGAGAACAATCCTTATTGGATCGATCGGTTTCAGTTTCTCCAGCCAGTCTTTAGTAGTCACCATGTGATGAGATGCGCCAGAATCCAATAGTATGTCTGCCGCATTGGTGTCAGCAAAATTGAGACTGCCACTTGTCTGCAATGAATAACAGTTCTCGCTTGAACCATGAGGGTTCTGGCCTTTATCATTTACTACTTCTGAAACGGAATTCGAAGTCCATGCCAACAGCAACGTCGCCGTATTTGCTGTGGCATGAGTTCCTTCAGAGGCATTGTCCTCTGAATATCTGATCACTTCATGATGACGCTGTAGCAAATTGGGAGGGACAGAAGGGTAAACTCTTGTTATAATCAACAAGCTTTAGTTGAACGTGTTCTCTCTCTTGTCTCTGTTTTTCTCATTATCCTCTTCTTCCCCTCTTTGTGTCTACTTCTAAATGTCGATGGCTTATATAGACTTTTTGTCAATACTCTACAGCATGGCAAACTATTCCTCAGTTTCTCCTTAGACCTTTCCAGACGTCCCCAACGTTGTATGTATTGTCGTTATGGAACTCGCGATTGAAGGGAGGCGTGCTTGGCGGTCTAGAGTGTTCCAGGGTATTACATCTAGAGTTCTAAAGGTATGCCCTCTTTCCTTATCTGCCCAATCTCCGCATTTGCCATCGTGGCATTTGTCACAGGTATTAATTTTTGGGAATATTTCCTAGACTTTTCCAGTCACTGCTGGATTCGGATGACACATCCAACAGACGCATCAATTGCTTCCCTCCATTTTTACAGTTACGTGCAATATGCCCGATCCTGTTACACTTAAAGCATCTGCGTTTTTCATTCCTTGAATGCGGGCGTGTTTTTTCGTGACGTCGTTTCGGCCTGCCAAAGGCAGCAAGAGCAAGACTATTTTCCTTAGCTTTGGCTTTAGAACTTGACGGTCTGGAACTCAGTTCATCGTATTCTTGAAGCAGACGGGCAGACACAGTCTCCCATTTCAACTCTTCCTGGATGGTCTGCAGAGATGTCACGATATGGCCGTACTGAGACTGACTCTTGTCCCCGAAAGAAGCTAAAAGCATTGCAATCTGCATTTCTACTGATACGTGGCTCTGCATTGCAGCAAGCCTGTTGAATATCTCCTCACACCCATCAATATAATCAGGCATAGGCTGCCCTTGGTATGCAATTCGCGAGAGTTTTGACTGGAGCTGGACTCTTGTCGCAGTGTTGGAGACTGCGTACCTATCCCTCAGACGTCCCCACATCTTAAAAGGATTTTTCTTCTCGCTTAGGCATAGACGAAGTGGTCTGTCCCCTAGTCCACGGATCAATATGGCAGCAGCGGTGGCTACATCTTTTCCGAAGTCTGCTGCTTACTGATTCGGCGGAGGTACTGTGATGACGTCAGACTCGATTACGTACAGAACTTCTTTTGCCTGAAGAGCTGCTTCAGTTCTTGCAGTCCATAGGGAAAATCCTCACCTGGTTTACCAT